AGACCATACTTGGAGTTAAGTAGCTTATTAGGGAAGTAAAGGGTACAACTCGAGATCAGGATCAAAAAACACGTAGTTAAATTCTCTCTTAAGTGTAGGAAAGACTCTTCTTGGCCCCCTGAGGATAGGCTCTTCTCGGTCTCCTGAGGCTAAGCTCCTCTCAGATCCTTGAGGACAGGCTCTTCTTGGTTCTGCCTCTGTCACCCCTGGTTGCTGCCAGGGCCTCTTCTGGGCTGTTGCCACTGGCTGTTCCTGTGAGCCCCTTTTGGGCCTGTCACTGTCTTTAGGGTTACAGACCTTGAGCTGTGTTGCAGCTCTTCTCTCAGGAGGTTTCTTGCTTCCTTTATTTCTCTCTTCTTTCTTCCTTTTTCTTCTTCCTGTTGCATCTCTTCTGCTTCTTTCTATCTCTGAAGCTTCTGTGGGATTGGCTGATTATAACTACAAACTGCTTGTAAATTTCAAGACATGGCCAACCCATTCAGGCTACGAATTGACCAAACCCCTGATCAATCTCTTCTCCATACACCACAGATACTATTTGCATAGAAAGCTACCTATTTGCATAGAAAAGGCCCTTCCTTCATTTGTATAGTCTGTTGACCAATTCCTGCAAGGTGCATACCAATCACAGGTCAGGCTGCAGCCCAGGAGCAGACAAAAGTTTTCAAACCAAATTGTTTACAGTTTACCCAGGAAATGTAACAAACCCTCTTGGGTGAAAAACTAGGGCAAAGGTAACCCCTGAGGGCTTAGGGGGAAAGTCTCTCAAGCTGTTTTTTTCCAGCTTGAGAGGAACCACAGGAAAAAACCCACACAAAGGAACTCATTTCACTGTAAAGATTATGTCTTATATTTGATAAAAATTCTTCTTATTTTTATTTTGTATGCTATTTACACTGTTAAGTGAATATCATGGATCAACTGAGCATTTATTTTCAATTTAAGCTTGTGTAAAGAAGCTAGGACAAAGAGATTTATCAGTTGATTAATCTTTAGTCCATTATCTCTATAGAGCCTAATTATATAAACATAATTGTATAGGTTTATATAGAGTTCAATTATATATGTCTCATGAGCACATCCTAAGTATTTTTATTAATTTCACTTATTTGTGTACTGTGTTTGTTTTCTTTGGAGAGAAACTGAGGTGGCTCTATTTTTAAATATTTCAGTTTGTTGCTGAACAAAAGTTAGATTTCTAAAATCCATTTCACTTAAGACAGACCAAATAAATGAAGATGATATTGTTCTTAGGTGCCATTGAGTTAGTTCTGACTCACAGGGACCCTGTGTACAACAGAACAAAACACTGCCCAGTCCTGTGCCAGCCTCACAGTCCTTGCTGTGGTTGAGCCCAAAATGAAGAAGGCTACTGACTTTTTCATGTTCACCTGTTTTTATAACTCACAACCAAGTCTAGAGTAAAATGGATTCATTTTTACTGGAACTGCATATCACTCTGAAGAATTACTGTGTCCTGATAGCTTAGATTGTTTTTAAGTAGCATTGCCTCCTACGTCATTTGATATTAAAGAGGTAAAATAGATAACAGAAACCTCAAGCAATGAAGCCCTGACACTTGATTCATAGTAAATTCCCTTGGATTCTTAATTAAGCTGATTCATTCCCCCTTTACACACTATAGACTTGGTAATCTGAACTCAGTCACCCAAAAAATCAAGGTGCCAGACCCTGCACCAGTTGTTGGAAATCCAAAGATGTGCAGGTATGCAGCCAGGCAAGTCAGTGTTTCCATTCTGGTGCTGTAAGTGGTATGGCAGATGGGTGGGTACACAGGGTGTTCTCAGAGCATGGGGCCAAAGCCTTCCAGTCAGAGCAAGGGGTCATGCCAGGGTTCCTGGAGGAAGGAGTTATTGGGCAGAGGGAGAGAACAAGTAGAAATAGAGTGTGCTCTGACTGGGGCGTGAAATGATACATACTTCAGGAACATGCCTAGATGGGGAGAGCTGCAGTGGAATGAAGGAGGGAAATTGCCAGAAAACTAGAAACTATAGTTAATGTTAAGTTAAAAAAAAAAAAAAAATAGGTGAGTTTTGGTTATCACTTTCTATATGCCAGGCCCTGCTCTAGATACTTAGATGTGTTAACTCATTTGATCTGTAAAATAACCCTATTATTCCCCACCTTTTATAGATGATTAGTAATGGGTACTGTGTGGTAAATAAGGGGTGCCAACTTTATCATGAATTATATGGGGACTCACAGAAAGATTTTAGATGATCAGATTATTATTTTTTTAAAAGATGACTCTGATAGTGAAATAGGACCAAACGTGGGTCCCTGCCTGGTGTGCAGTCAGACCAAAACAGTTTACACACTGAGTGATTAAGAGGAGAGAAAATTATTTATTGCAAAGCAGCAATGCAAGGAGACTCCCCAGATCTGACTCCCCAAAATGCCATCAAATTACAATTTTGTAGGTTTCAGAAGAGAGGGTTATGGATATTCATAAAAATTTCAGGAATTTGGGCATGAGATGGTTGACAATTGGCTGAAATTTCCTTTGCCTTGGTTTAAAGGGACAGTAGCAGTTTGATCCAGTGCACTTGCATACCAGATGAGTCACACTGACTTCCTGTCATCAGCTGATCGAGGCTTAGGCAGAGGGGAAAGTGTTAGTTCCCAGGAACTTTGTTCCTCTCTGTCCAATTGTGCATGTCCGTGGACCACAGTTAATTTTCAAGTTGTTTTCTAAGACACATTAACACGTTTATCACCTGTGCCTAAGGAAATAGCAGGAAAGAATGTTTCTTGTCCATTCAGTTCTTCAGGAACTGAGCTTATTGTATTTACTCATCTGTCTCCAACTGGGGTCCTATTAGTCTTAACCAGGGTAGGGGAATAGTTGAGGGTAATTAAATTTACTTATCTATTCCCATCCAGGGTCCTATCTGTTCTAATTATCTGTTTTAACCAGGGTGGGGGAAATAATTTTGACTTTACTCAGTTTCAGTAGCTGTGTCTGTGTAGGATGGGGTGCAGACTATGTCCATACAATAAGATCCATGTAGAGAAAGGAGGAATGTTTGGTGTAGAAAGTTTGAGAAGCTGGATGACCTACAATATGGGTTCTAAATGACAGAGCAGAAAAGTTTGGGAGGGACAGGAGCTATGGAAAGTTGGGGAGAGGAATTATGACACGGTATGTTAATGAGAGGAGCACTGGTAGTACAAGTTAAGAGCTAAGCTTCTAATCAGAAAGTCAGCAGTTCAAACCCATCGAGTAGCTCCATGGGAGAAAAGACCTGACAATCTACTCCCATAAGGCCTTTGAAAGCCCCATGGGACAGTTCTGCCCTGTTCTTATAGGGTCTCTATGAGTTAGAATTGACAGAGTAGCAACTGCTTTGTGAATGAAAGAATTAGAGAGGTAGATGAGCAGAGAGCCTTGTATCTTGAGCATGATCAAGGATCACAGGATGGGAAGAACAGTGGGTTTAGTTAGCTGTATGGTTTATCAGAGTGTCAATTCCAGGGGCTCCCCCAGGAAATAGGGGGCACTGAATCCTTTTGAATGGCAGTGAGGGGTTGGGGAAGGAGAAGAAAGCATCTAGAATGTCTCTCTGCCTCTTGGCTTGTAGACCTGAAAAAATTGTGGTGCTATGAGTCAAGGCCAGAAATGGAAGAGTAGATTTGGGGAGGATGATAATGGCTTTGATTTTAGATAGAGTGGGATGAGTACCTTCTAACATGTGGTTAGAAGTTCAGGAGGTTAGAGTGGAGATCACACTGTCAGAGTAGAGATGGTGTTTGAAGGCACAGAAATGAATGATAATGTCAAGGGATAGTGCTTAGAGTATGGAGACTGGAGAACAGGATAATTCCATGAAGCATTTGTCATCAGCATTTTTCAGAGTTCAGCTGAACTCTGAAAAAATAGTAATACCATGTTTACATTGATTTGAATCCTGTAATGCATATAATATATATATTTTAATTTTGTTTGTCTTGTTTTTGAACTCACATGGTAAATTTCTGAAGACTAGAATAAGTCTTTTTTTTTTCTTTTATCTTTAGGACAATGCAGGCAACATTGTCTATACTTAATACCTAATTGCTTATTTAATAGGATTTTATGGCAAACCAATGAGGATACGGCCTACAACAGCAGTCAGCAAATTATGACCTGCAGGCTAAATTTGACCTACCACCTGTTTTTATGGGAGCTCTGGTAGCATAGTGCCTAAGGCACTTGACTGATAACCAGAAAGCTGGAGGTTCAAGCCCACCAGCCACTCCTCGGAAGGAAGGTTGGGCAATCTACTTCTGTAGTAATACTGCCTTGGAAACCCAAGGAGGGGTCGCTATGAGTCGGGGCCGACTCAACGGCACATAACAACACCACCTGTTTTTATGAATAAAATTTTATTGAAGCACAGCCATGCCTATTTGATTACATATTGTCTATGGTTGCATCCATGCTATAAGGGCAGAGTTGAGTAGTTGTGTCATAAGATCTTATAGCCCTCAAAGCCAACAATGTTAACTGGTCCTTTGCAGAAAAATTTTGCTGATCTGTGACTTAAAAAATGTGGGTGTCATAGTTCATTCAGCGCTAATAGTTCTAGTCTAGTCTAAATATGAAGTCAGTAGTCCATGGGTGTTGTGGTTCTGATCTTCACCCTCTCCATCCTGTTGCAGACTAACTGCTGAGTTATTGCGCCTGCTTTGTGCCGAACCTCAAGTGAAAGAACAGGTGAAACTCTACGAGGGAATACCTGTGCTTCTCAGTTTGCTCCATTCTGACCACCTGAAACTACTCTGGAGTGTTGTCTGGATTCTGGTTCAGGTGTGTGAGGACCCTGAGACCAGTGTGGAGATTCGCATTTGGGGAGGCATCAAGCAGATCCTTCATATTTTACAAGGGTGAGTTACAGTGAGCATGTGCCCACTTTGCCCTAATTATTGAAGGCTAGGAACTTCTGCAGCGAGATGGCAGATTGATCCATGCTAAGCTTGTTTCCTCTTTCTCTGAGGTTTCTATAGTTGCTCATTTTCCCCAGAATCATTTATATCATTATAAACATACCATAAGTCAATGTCAGGGGCATTTATTTGTCTTTTATGTTTCCTGGGAACTGTGATATTTCCATCTTTGCCTCACCAGCCTCCAGTATAGTGCCAGCATGTAGTAAGTCGTCTAGACTGCAGTTGGAGACTGAATGGAAATGCAGAGAAAACCGTTCTCTTGTAATCTTTTCCTTGAATCAGTATATGTATGTTGTAATGCCAAGTCCAGTGTTACTAATATTTTTCTAAAATGTGTGTGTGTGTGTTTGTGTTTGTTTGTACATATATAAAATCTATCTATAGAGACAAAGCAAAGCCCATACTAAAGGAACAGATGTATAGTCTTTATTTAAAATTAGAGAAGATATCATTAGTTAAGTGATTATCATGTTATTGACCCCAGGACAGTTGCTTTTACTTTTCTTTTGGTGAGGCAAAGATGAAAATATGTTCCCAGGAAACATAAAAGACAAATAAATGCCCCTGACATTGACTTAGGGTATGTTTGTAATGATATAAATGATTCTGGGGAAAATGAGCATCATAGTCTTCTTAAGTTGGTATTATCTCTTTTTTAAAAGTGGAAGTCCAATGACATTTAAAGCCAGGAATATGGGGAAGAGTTGCTATGTTAAAATAGTTGCAAATTGAAATTCTCTTGAATTATTTTATAATTTCACTGTTAAATTTTGTATATTAGATATATTGAAGTATTGGATAGTAACATCTTTCAGCCCCACCCTTTGGAAAGTCTTCTTATCTAATATCATTATAAAGTATAATTCAGCTCCATGGGTCTGAATCTAAGTTAAAAAGCAGGATATCTACTTGAAAGGCATCCCATATATGATCTGTAGTACAGAAATAAAGCTCACTCGAATAAAAGCAGAGTGACTTATCAATTTTAATATGGCTAGATATTATCAAGTCAACAGTATTTATACTTTGTACTTGTTATGCCTCTAGGGATATTGTGGAGTTATATGTTACCAAGTTCATTTTCTCTGAGGAAACACTCCAAGCATAAGAACAGAGATATGAACAGTCACTTTGTTAATGATTTCTATCATTACCTAAACAAAGGAAAACATTTATAGACTGATGACAATCTATTAGCTTTTATGAATGCGACATTAAAATATTAAATATTTTAAGAGATAAGTATCTTATTTGTATTTATCATTGTAAGCTAGGCCCTTGGTCACAATAATTAAAAAGCTTAATTGCCAAAGGTTTTTTGGCTTGCATTCATAGAATGATGATAGTGGTTGTTATTGTTATTCAGTCATATATCTTACAACAGTTGTGGGTTGCTGTCATGCAGAGCTTCCATTTTCTTAGTAATAAAATTCTGTAATTATCAAGCAAAACTTCAAAGACCAAACTTGCTTTTTTTTCACATAGAATTGAGTTTAATATAAGATACCAGTTTTCCTTTTTGTTCAAGCCATAACTATCCTAGATAGAAATGAGTTCTTTTAAGTCTAGCAAGTCATTTTCCCCAGTCCGTTTGTAGGGTATAGTGTTAGGAAACTCATCCTTGGGAAGATGATATATATCGGCTCTTATTCTATGTTAAATATATCTCAGCACTCTGAAGGGATTTATTACCTCAGCTGGATAAATAATATCCTTTCAGTGCTTGTGTCCGCCCTTGGGCTGCTTGGAGCTGAGAGTGAAAATTGCCAGGTTGTTGGATATTTTGAGACTGAATAAGCATTATTGCAGGGTCCTTCTCAGGAAATTTGTTCCTGCCCATTCACCTATAATCCTAAATGGAAAGTGATTCTTAAAGAGCTATACACTCTTACCTGGGTGGAGTGATCCCGAGAATTTGAACTTTAACATAATTATATTGACAGATAAAACCACCAAGTGTGACTATCCCTAGGCCCAACTTCATTACCTTCCCCATGACTATTGAAGAAAGGACTACTGCTTGGCTCTGGTGACATGGGAGGAAGGCAAGGAGACTTGATCCACTTGTTGTTCATACACACCGAACACTGTGGACAGAGCTGCTGTCCTAGAGAAAAAAATGAATGAAAAAATATGGTCATTACGTAAAACAGAAGGGAACAAAGTGCAGACAAAAAACATGGCAGATTGATTATGGAAGATGTTGCACTGAGTAAACAGAAAAGCAGATGCTTTATTTCACCAAAGACATTAAAGAAAATGAGAAATGTATGAAATGATATTAAAGATGAGCTGATAGGACAACAAAAAGGGAAGAAGGGAGATTGCAGAGCTCAGGAAAGAGAATGAGGACTGAATGACACCCATAGAACTGATAAGTTGAACAATGAGAAGGAAAATAGAAATAGTGAAATAGAGGGGAAGCTTGAAAAAGTATATATAATGCAGAGGAAACAGACAAAGGGATGAAAGCAGTTAGAAAATCAAAGCAGGAGATGGGTTTTCAATATGTGGATAATTGATATCCTGAGGTAGAAAATAAAACAAAAGGAATAAAAAATGTTCAAGGATAAAATGGAAAAAAAAAAAAAAAAAAACTTTCCTAAAATGAAGGAAGACTGGAATTTTAGGGGAAAATAAAACAATCACCATTGAAATGTACTCAGGTGAACTAACTGGAGCAAAAGAAGGTCTCCAAACAGACTTGCACATGTACTGGCACTTAAGTGGTGAAAAAGGTGGCTGTGTGGAGCACTGGGGAAAGGACAGTCATTTCTAATATATGGTGCAGGGTCAGTGCAGTAGCCAGATGAGGAAAACAAAACAAAACAAAACTTGATTCCTACATCATACCAAGGGAGCTCTGGTAGCATAGTGCCTAGGCACTTGACTGCTAACCAGAAGGCTGGTGGTTCAAACCCACCAGCCACTCCTCGGAGGGAAGGTTGGGCAATCTACTTCCATAGTGATACTGCCTCAGAAACCCCAGGAGGGGTCGCTATGAGTCGGGTCCAAACTCAACGGCACATAACAACAACACATCATATCAAAACCCACTACTATCAAGTTGATTTTGACTCATAGCAGCCATTTAAGAGGGAGTAGAACTGCCCCGTAGGGTTTCTAAAGCTGTAAATCTTTATGGAAGCAGACTGCCTTATCTTTCTCCCATGGAACTCTGCATTGTACTATACACAAAATCAATTCTAGGTGCATTGAAAAGTGAAACAATAAAAGAGAAAACTTCAGGACTTGGGGGAGGCAAAAACTTTTAAAATGGGAGGTAGAAAACACCATAAAGGAAAACTGATACACTGGTATGTGTATTAACTTTTCTTTTTCAGAGATAGAAATTTTGTTTCTGATCGCTCTTCCATTGGGAGCCTGTCTAGTGCAAATGCAGCAGGCCGCATCCAACAGCTTCATTTATCAGAAGATTTAAGCCCTCGGGAGATACAAGAAAATACCTTTTCTCTTCAAGCAGGTATTTATGTTATATCATTATGTTTTATTTTTAATGCTATGCCATTTATTATGTTGCATTATTATTCTCTGTCATAAGGTCAGTATAATAATGTTGCTTAAACACAATATATAAGCTGGAAATATGTAAAGTTAAATCCATGTGAATGCTAGAAACTTGTTGATGGCATATTCTGCTGGCCGTATCTTTTTTTCCTAATTGCTTTTATTCCTTTGTCTTTCTCTTCTGCATTATGTGCAGAGGAAATGCTAGACAATGATATGACAAACTTTTTTCTCCTTCCACATGCTGCACTGAGAAGTAAACATGCAGTTTGTCTGTGGCCAGACTCAGGCTGCCTCTTGTTTTCTGGACCATGGGGCACCCTCCCTAAAGGATAGTCTACAGTGCATATACTCATCCCTCCTGGTGCAGAGGAGTGCCTTCCTCACACTCTGTGAGCTTCAGAAGAGGAGGCAGAGAAAGAGTCTGCCCTATGTGCAAATTCCACATGGACACCTGTGCAGCCCTACATACATACATTTTTTACCACGGCCACCTCAAACAGTCTGTGCCTTTGGGACACACTGGGCTATAGTGCGGCCCAAGTGCTGCTGGCCAACCTGGGTGCAGAGAGTCTGGGCCAACAGGAGGGCACAGAGACTAAGCAGGAAAGAGCAGATATGCGAGGAGGAAGAAATGAGGGGATGGAGGAAAGTCTGACTTTCTTTGCCCTATTTCCCACTGAAGACTGGAGAGGATGTTTCCTCCCAGAAGTGTGAGGCAAGGGAAATAAGATCCTCTTCAACAGCCATTTCGTTTCCTCTGAAAGGTCTCCTCTTAATACAATGACTCATGCTGGGTGCTTCTGGTATGAAGCTTCCACAGAAAGTCTAATATTGGCTGAATCTCAGTGCTCCTCGTGTTTCTAGGACTCTCTCAGAAAGTGGGTGAGATTGATGGTGATAGAAGTCTTAAGAATGATTACCTAGAGATGGGGTTTTGGGGGGTTATTGCCTGGGTAGGGGCATGAGGGAGCTCTGAAGATTGGAAATGTCCTCTATCCTGATCTGGGTGGTAGTGGTAACAGAGTATATAGATAAGTAATATCTCATCTAGCTGGACACCTAAGATATATATATATATATATATTCACTGTAGGCAGATTACTGGACATATTTCCTACTTCAATTAAAAAAAAAAAGAAAAAAATTTAAAACATAATGGGTTAAGGTAGGGTCTGAGTTTAGTCCCCATCTACTTTGATGGCCATGTGGCCTTGGGCAAGTTCCATAATCTCTCTGAGCCTCAGTTTTGCCCATTCATGCTAATGGTAATGATAACTCTGGTGTCAATATTGGAGGTTTATTGTGATAATTATGTGAGGATGTATATAAAGTCCATAACACAGTGCCTGGCCCAAGGTAAGGGCTCAATAAAGTGGTATTATTCTTTACAGATGCTCTGTGTTCCATCTGGAAGGACAAAATGCCTTTCAATGCACATGCCACCAGAGGCTGCCATGTTGGCTTAGGGGAGGTAGGAGTGAGTAGTGTTAAGGGCCAGTGATTGAATATCTGGCAGACTGGGGTCATTCTACTTCGTAGTTGTAGGGCCCAGTCTCATAACCTCTGTGTACCTCAATTTTCTCATCTATAAAACTGATAATGATAGTTCATACTATGATTACTAGAATTAATTTGGATAATATATTTAAAGCATTTGTTCATTTTTCCAACCATGGTAGACAGATATATTGTTGTTGTTGTTGTTATGTGCCATCGTATTGGCTCTGACTCACAGTAACCCTCTGTACAACAGAAGGAAACACTGCCCGGCCCTGTGCCAGCCTCACAATCCTTGCTATACCTCAGCTCATTGTTGCAGCCATTGTGTCAATCCATCTCCTTGAGGGCCTTCCCCTTTTTCATTGACCTCTGCTTTGCCAAGCATGACCTCCTTCTCCAGGAAATGGTCCCTTCTGACATGACTAAAGTAGGCAAGACAAAGTCTGGCCATTATTGCTTCCAAGGAGCAGTCTGGCTGCATTCTTCCAGGGCAGATTTATTCGTTCTTCTGGCAGTCCATGGTACTTTCAGTATTCTTCGCCAGCACCACAATTCAAAAGCATCAACTCTTCTTCAGTCTTCCTTATTCATTGTCCAGTTCTCATGTGTATATGAGGTGATTGAAAAGTACCATGGCTTGGGTTAGGATGACATTAGTCTTCAAGGAAAAGTCTGTGCTCTTCAGCACTTTAAAGAGGTCTTTTGCAGTAGATTGGCCCAGTGCAATGTGTCATCTGATGTCCTGACTGCTGTTTCCTTAGTGTTGATTGTGGAACCAAGGTACATGAAATCTTTGACAACTTCAATCTTTTCTCCATTTATTGTGGTGCTGCTTATTGGTCCAGTTGTGAGGATTTTCATTTTCTTTATGTTGAGATGTAATCCATACTGCAGACTGAAGTCTTTAATCTTCATCAGTAAGTGCTTCAAGTCGTCCTCACTTTCAGCAAGTAAAGTTGTGTCATCTGCATGTTGCAGGTTGTTAATGATTCTTCCTCCAATCCTGATGCCACATTCTTCTTTATATAGTCCAGCTTCTCAGATTACTTGTTCAACATGCAAATTGAATAAGTATGGTGAAAGGATACGACCCCAACACACTCCCTTCCTGATTTTAGACCATGCAATATTCCTTTGTTCTGTTCGTATGACAGCCTCCTGGTCTATGTACAGGTTCCTCATGAGTGTAATCAGGTGTTCTGGAATTCCCGTTCTTCTCAATGTTATCCATAATTTGATATGGTCCACACAGTCGAATACTTTTGCATAGTCAATAAAACAGAAAATATCTTTCCGGTATTCTTTCAGCCAAGATCCATCTGACATCAGCAGTGATATCCCTCATTTATTGAGCACTTGCTAATTGCCAGGCACATGTTGGGCACTGGGGATTACAGTGAACCATACAAAGGCAATCTCTGTCTCTTTGCACATAGTAGGGGCTCAATAAAAGCCTGCTATGGTATGTCTGCACACAAGTGGCATGAAGTGTAAAGTTAAAAGTCATAAAAGGTAAGTTTTTCTTTTTCCAGAGCTGTGCCAAAAGAAAAATTAGTGTTTTTGAGGAATGTCTTACATACAATTCTACTGTAAACATGTAAAAGTGTAGTTGCAGAGGTGATGTACATGATAAACCTGATGCTTTTCATTTCAGCCTGCTGTGCTGCCCTCACTGAACTGGTGCTCAACGACACCAATGCCCACCAGGTGGTTCAGGTGAGATGCTCCTACTAGAGGAAATAGAGCATCCTTGCCAAGGTCAGGTCCTTAGAACCATCTCACAATTAGCCCCACCTTATAATGTAGGCTGTATCCCAGAATGTGTGTTTTGGAATCTGATCATGTGATCTTAAATGTTTTAACATGTCTTATTTAATTTTATAGAGTTCTATTTTTTATTTTTCTTAGTCTTCCTTTAACTCCCTTGGATTAAAAAAGAACTGACATGGTTAATTGATGTTGATATTGTTTCTCTACTCAAGTTTTGACTAACATTATGTTCAGTCTTTTTCATTTAATTTATCCTCTTTTTTTTTTTTTTTTTTCTTTAAGTGATTCTGTATTAAATTAGTTTTGGGCAAACAGGGCACCATGAGTTAAGGATTATAGTCATTTTAACTATGTACATTCCATTACTTAGTTAAAGAAGATTGAAATACAACATACAACATATTTGTTATGCAGAAATTGATTTCACAAAGTATGATTCATTAATTAACCCACTGTTTGTAGTTATGCATATGTTTGTATGTATATATTTAAAAAACAACCCTTGTATGGGTTTCTGTAGCAAAAGTTACACCCTACTATTAAATTTTACAAAGGAAAAGGAAACATTCTTTTGGGAGGGAGGTCAATGGAATATCTCCAGCTTCAGCTACACAATACATATGTTTATATGAAGTATGGGATAAGATTACTGCTGGTCAGAGCACCTAATGGAAGCTGAGCGAATCAGGGATTAGTTGATGGAGATTTAAAGTAAATTTTTGCAGTTGTTGCATCTCATCTCTTTTCAAGTGATTTACAAAAGAGTATAGGAAACAATCTTTGCTTCTAATCTAAGAGCTATCATTTAGATTGATTGGGGTCAGTTAGTTTGGGTTCATTTCCAGGTGTGGCCACTTGTTAGCTTGGCCCTTAGAAAAGAAACTGAATCTCTTGCAGTTATGATTTTCTCCTATGTGAAGCAGAAAAATTATATAATAATTGAAGACATTTAATTAAAACTTTTTGTAGTTATAATGTACAATATAAGGTTAAAGCTTTTTGTAGTTACAGGTGGCCACATGTAAGAGACATCAGCAGATTATTTACTTAATAGACAATAGAAGAGTAGCAATAAATTGATATTAATATTTTTCCTATTTCTGCATGTATATATTTATATTAGCATAAGTCTAGATGGATTGTTAACTGTGTTTCACAGATAACTTCCCTTTTCTTTTTTACTTATATATATATATATTTTAATTTGCTCTTTTCCTTTATTTTTTTAAACAATAATTGACTTTTATATATTCTTTAATTACAGAAACTATAAAGGGAGAAATTATATCCCAGACAGACATCTAAAATACAAAGTATAAAGATGTTTAGATCCTTTCATTCTGTGCCTTTTTATCCTCCATTCTTTTAAAATATTTAAGTCACTTTGAAATTTTGTATTTTATTATTTATAATCATGTTTCTTTAAAGGAATTTGAAATTTTAAGTTTGTTGCTTGTTTAAGTTTGTTTGTTTTTGGTATTTAAGGGTATTACATTGATATTTTATTATTGTTCTACAAGATTTACTTAAATTTCTAAAATTTATACCAACATTTCTTCTTTAATATTAATTTGTGAGATTATTTAGTTGTTTTCTTATGTTCACTTTATCACTGATTACTGCTAAGATAACCCCCTTTTTCTTCTAGGAAAATGGTGTGTATATAATAGCAAAATTAATTTTACCAAACAAACAGAAGAATGCAGCAAAAACTAATCTACTACAGGTAATAAATATATTTACTGTTTTTCAGTATCAAATTACTGAAATCTTGGGGAACACTGATAAAATCATCTGTGGTTTTTAGAATTTTAGTTTAACAGTTGGTCCCTGTGCTGACTGTGAGGAAAAATACTTGATGCAGGAGGCTGATATGAAAACAATGTAAAAGGCTTAGCAGTGTGAGGAACTGAGGTGATTTTGCTTATATGTTTCTTTGCTTATCAGTGAGATATATTACCTGTGTGGCTTGTGAATCAGAAAACAATAAAGGAGGAAAATGATATACCATCTTCAAGCATGAACCACAGCCACTCAAGTTTCACCTTTAAAAATCAAAGCCTCTAAAATGGGTGAGAAGGGACTTGCTGCGTGGATAAGAGGGTATAGGTGAAAAAGCAGCGGCATCTGCTACAAGGTGGAGGAACATTCCCTGCAGAGGGAACAAAAGCTTGGAAGCCCTTTGAGAGCTTAGAGTGTGTTTAGGGAAGTGTAAGCTGCTCACTGGGGCTGGGCTGCATGGTTAGGAGAGAAAGAAAACCCCAAGAGATGAAAGCTTAAAGGTAAGAAGGAGGCATGTATGATCCTATGTGCTTTTCTGGGAAGTGGGCACTGGGCAGCCAGTTCCCCCAATGACACTTTGAGTGACAAACTCAGATTTAAAGTAAATCTTTGCAGTTGGTGCATCTCATCTTTTTTCAAGTCATTTAAAAAAGAGTATAGGAAACAACCTTTACTTTTGATCTAAGAGCTATCATTTAGATTGATGGTCAAATGTGCAGAGACTTGGTGGTATCTATGTGTTGGCAGGCAGCAGTTTTAAGAGAGGTCCCAATGACAATATACAGGTGTAGTACTTGGTTTCTTTGATGTGTCACAGATGCCTGACACTGTGTTGGAAACAGACACTCAAATCTGGCCTGCAGATGTGTTTTGTTAAGCCAGTAGTGTTTTTTTTTTTTTAAATATTATTTCTTTTCTTGTTGTTGTTGAGAATATACACAGCAAAGCATGTACCCACTCAACAATTTCTACATGTAGTCAGTGGTACTGGTTACATTCTTAGAGTTGTGCAATCATCCTCATCCTCTTTTTCTGAGTTGTTTCTCTCCCATTAACATAAATTCAGGGATCCTTAGGTTCCCATCTAATCTTTTAAGTTGCTGTTGTCAATTTAATCCCATGTAGAAGGATCTTTAAAAAGTATAATGCTCAAGACAGACATTCTTTACTAGTTAAGCTAGACCATTGTTTGGTTTTAAGAAGACTTTAGGGAATATTTTTGGTTTAAGGTTTAAAGATTAACTCAGGGCAATAGTTTCAAGGGTTTACCCAGTCTCTGTGGCTCTAGAAAGTCTTGAGTCTCTGAGAATTTGAAAATCTGTTCTGCATTTTCCCCTCTTTGATCAGAATTCTTCTGTAGGTCAGTAGAGTGTTTTTTTTTCTTTTCCCCAAAAAGTGAAATTGGAGTGTCTTTTGAGAAGCACACACGCTCTCCACTTTCTCCTGTTGTTGTTGTTTGCCATCGAGTCGGCCCCGACTCATAGCGACCCCTCCTTGGGTTTCCAAGGCAGTATCACTACAGAAGTAGGATTGCCCAACCTTCCTTCCTAGGAGTGGCTGGCGGGTTTGAACCGCCAGCCTTCTGGTGAGCAGTCAAGTGCTTTAGGCACTATGCTACCAGAGCTAGTCCCTGCTATTCTCTCAGCAGGCTCCCTCATGGCATTTTGTTATCTGCATGGCTTCTCTGGGCAATTTATTTTTCATTTTTGTAAACCTTGTGTATTCTGATCACTAATTTTATTAAATGATCTCAGAATCTAATTCAGCAGACTCTGATCACCCCAGTGTTGACCTCTTGCAAAGGTACAGTTGGAGGCTGGTGGTTTTCTTTTTCTCTTGGCACTGCAAAATGTCAGATGTTTATTTTTCTTAGTTAAAGTATCACAGGCCTCTTTCTATGTGTTCTAAGGAGTTGCTGTAGATTATTCTATTTGGGGAATGCTTAAGACTTTTTACTCAAGAGACCAATTTGTCAAGTTTGAGTCCAGTGTGCCTGTAGCTATATTTATATGTCATCATTTCTAATGTTTATTTTCTCACAGAAACCATGTAAATATTGAGGCATACATAGCAGTCTGGAGAAAAAAAAATAAACCTTTAGGTCCTGGAAATCTTTGGATGGATGTTTGTTTTTCTCAGTATAGATCTTATTTCTTATATCTGTGCTTAATGGCAAGTACTGAGTGAAGCAAGGCCAAGATCCCGAGCATTGTACAGCACAAAGACTTCTTAAATAAAAAAACTACCCCAGATTTTGTTTTGTTTCTCTTGTAAGTTTTAGCTTCAGTGTAGTCCTGCCACTCACAGTAAAGCCATTTAATGTTTATGTCATGATCATTCTGTCCTGAAATTGTTTTAATTTGTTGAGCTACCATTTAAGAATCATGTCTCCTTTTGTTTTCTAGTGTTATGCTTTCAGAGCCTTGAGGTTTCTCTTCAGTATGGAAAGAAACAGACCACTCTTTAAAAGGTACAGACTTAGAGAAATTTAAGTGACCAGAGATCATTAGTTTCACTTTCCTGATGTAGATACAAACAGTAAGAGAAGACTGAATCAGTATGCAAAATATGTGCCTTCAAATTTCTAAGTGTCCATAGATATAACTGAGCTATCCTAGAGATATTTTAATACTTAAAATTAACAATATGATGATGAAAGTGCACTAATCACTGATATCAATACAACTTTTCTTGATTACATGTGATTGCTATGGACTTGGGACTACTGTGGACTTCAGTATTATTATTATTATTATTATTAAACATGTTATTTTAAAGAGATGACATCAAAATACATACCCATTTCCCCTTAATCAATAGAAAAGAAAAGTATTTATCTTGGATGTCCTTGATAGGGTAGGAGCTCATTTGAAGGGGAGGAGGGATGAAGCCCATGGGTCAGGCTGTTGCAGTACATGTGATAGAACAATCACCATCTCGGGAAGAAAATTCTAGTTACCTACATGTGTAAGCAGAGCCAGGAAAAGGAGGGAGCAGGAGAGGCTGGGGACCTGCGGAGCAGCAGGATATCCAGGTAAAAGGGGCGGGAGACAAGGCTAGGCCCCAAGTCCCCTACAGCCAGGAAAAGGAGGGAGCGGCCAGGGACCACAAAGTGGTAGGTTCCAGGTGGGAATTAGGTAAGAGGAGGGTGCAGAGGTTTCCAATAGCTAAGGGGGACAAACTTTTCTGTCACTTTGTCATCCTGTGGGGCTTGTACATTGCTGTGAGGCTTGAGGCTGTGCCACTGGTGTTTCAGACACCAGCAGAGTTGCACATGGTGCACAGGTTTCAACACAGATTACAGACTAAGACAGACTAGGAAGAAGGAGGAAGCCATCC